CTCCCTGCTCACCTGGGCTGTCCATGTCTCCCTGCTCACCTGGGCTGTCCATGTCTCCCTGCTCACCTGGGCTGACCATGCCTCCCTGCTCACCTGGGCTGTCCATGTCTCTCTGCTCACCTGGGCTGACCATGCCTCCCTGCTCACCTGGGTTGTCTATGTCTCCCTGCCCTCTGCATTTTCTTTGTCTCAGTGGGCCTCTGCTATGGGCTGTGGTGGCACCAAGGAAGAACAAAAGCTCCTTTCTCACTTTTGACATTATGTTATGATGAAAATGGCATACTTGTCAACTCATCTCATATAGCCACTCAAGCTGTAGGCCCTAGAAGAATAGGAATTTAGAATAAAAAAACAACCCTGATGAGTTAGAGATGTGTTTGGATGGAGGCAGAAGGAAGTTCAGAGTATAAAGTGACAAGCTCCAAGAAAAAAATATGCTCCCAAATACAAGAAGGAGAAAAGTCATGTTCAAGGTTAATGGAAAATCTTAGGGTCGGAGAAGACAGTGAGTTAGAAGTTAGGCAACAAAAGTGAACTGGTTATTTTGCCAGATTATTTGTCTACTATGTCATTGGGATTATGCCACACAGAAGCAGGGAGGGGACCCTCTCTCTCTAACAACATGCTCTTGTTAGCAGATGACCCTAACACTCAAAGAGCCTATCTAATCTGACCCATTTATTGACATATTTACTTACTTTGGTGTCACTGGGTAGTGCAAACAGTTAAGCGCTTGGCTGCAAACCAAAAGGTTGGAGCTTTAAGTCAACCCAGAGGTGCCTCAGAAGAAAGGCCTGGCGATCTACTTCCTAAAAGTCAGCCACTGAAAGACCCAGTGGAGCATAGTTCATACTCTATCACACATGGGGTTGCCATGAGTCAGAGTCGACTCCACGGCAACTGGCTTTTTTTTGGCTTTTACTCACTTTAACCACCTATTCTCAATATTAGCCAGCTCCACAGATCACTGAACAGATGGATGAGCCTGTTGCAGTGGAGTCTGCAGTGGGGTTGCTAAAATTAGACTCACAACAGTAACAGTACACTTACTGTCAGGATATGGGGGGGCAAGAAAAGCAGCAGGGATCATTAGGGAATCCCAAACACTAATCAAAGGACAGTGGAACCCCACAGGAGGTGGAGTTGGGGAGCTATTGGTAGTGGTAGATGCTCTCTCTTTCCCCATCATGGGCTTTGTGGGTTCCTCCTCCTGGACCTCCCTTTCTCTGAGGGTCTGTCAGGTCTCCTGTCACACACCACGGCCCCTTCTTCCTTCTCTCTCTCTGCAGTTTCTCTGTCCCACAGCTCAGGCTCACTCAGACCCTTTCTTCACTGCACCTCCCCTTGCACCTGTGGATCAAAACCTCCCTGGGGGCTTCTGTCGCAATGTGACTTTTCAGCATCAGCTCCATCTGCAGCTACCTAATTCTTTCTGCGTTTCCTAATTCAGATTTCCAAGAAAACAATTTGGATGGGCTCAGCTCGTGTTTTCTTGCCAGATCGATGTCAGAGGTCTCTGGCGGGTCTAAGGGTGATGCCCACCCTTGCTCTTTGCAGCAGTGGGAGAGAGGAGCATCTGTGTTATGTGATCTACAAGGTGGCCCTTCCCACAGGGCTATGAGCACAGGCAGGCAGAGGTGGAGAAAAGGTTCTAATTTCTGAAAATGTGGAAAAGAGGTCCAGCAGAATTTCAAATTATCACGGAATCCAGACTTTCTGGAGCCATTGAGGCTGGATGAACCTCCAAAACTACTGCCCTGAGATAATCTTTAAACCAAAAACACCCCCTGAAGTCTTCTTTAAACCAAATAATGACTTCTGCCATTGAGTTGATTCCGACTCAGAGTGACCCTGTAGGACAGAATAGAACTGCCCGATAGGCTTTCCAAGCCTGTAAATCTTTATGGAAGCAGACTGCCTCATCTTTCTCCCATGGAGAGACTGGTGGGTTCAAACTGCTGACCTTTCTGTTAGCAGCTGAGTGCTTAACCCCTGTACCACGAGGGCTTCTTAAACCAAATAATAGTTGAGCTTAATTAGTAAAGACTGTCTACCTTGAACATTGTGCTCTTTTAAAGAATTATCTACATATATGGGATCGAACTGACAACAGCAACAGATGAGATAGGAAGCGTAGGAGGCCACTGCCTGTTTATGTTAATGAGGGAGGAACAATTTGGAAAAGGAAGGTGAGAATGGTTGCACAACCTGAAGGATGTAATCAATGTCACTGAAGTGTACCTGTATAAATTTTTAAACTGGTGTATGTTTTACTGTATATATTTTCAAGAACAATAAAAAATAAAATAAACTATTAAAAAATAAATCCATATACATACAAAATGAGATAAAGCAGCTGTGGCAAAATGTAACAATTAGAGACTCTAGATAAAGGGATCAATGGAAATTCTCCATATTAAATAGGAAATTTTCTGTAAGTTTAAACTTGCATCAAAATATTAAAGTTTCAGAGATATTTAGATGGTTACCAAAAAAAAAAAAAAAAAAAAAGGAAGAAAGGAAAAGAAGAAAAGAGTTCCATGAGTTGGAGATTAAGATTCCTCAATTTTTCTCTCTTGTTTCTTTACTTACTTTCTGGATGACAATGGTAAGTCACCTCTTTTCCCCATAAAATGAGGGGACTGAATAGATAATTATGGCTGACCCATGTCATTTGCCAGGCACTGCTCCCAGTACTCCCTACAGATTTACTGTACTGCCATTAACCCCTCTCAAAGATGGGGAAACAGACACAGAGAGGTTGAGTAACTTGCCCAAGGTCACACCTGGTAAGTGGCAGAGCTGGGCCTGAACCCTGGAAGTCTGGCTTCAGAACACTTGCTCTAAACCATGCTTTGCTTCCTCTAAGGTTTCTTTCAGCTGCTGTGCATTGTAGTTTTGTATTTTCAGTGGGATCTCTTCAGCAACTGATGCAACAGGATGCCCTTTTGAAATATCCGGGAGCTCGCGTATTCACCTTCAATGTCCTTGTTGGAACTCATACTGCCAGTGCCCTCTTACCATTCCATCATCCCTCTGACTCGGGGGAAAGTGAGCAACGAGCTGCGCGATGCCAGGGAGAGGATTAGCTCTGCCAGAACAGGATGCGCCTTTGTATCTGGCCTGGGTGACAGGTGCCCTGCAGGAACTCTGCCTGCCTTTTGCCTTCTTTGCCCTCTCTGAAGGTCATGGGAAACGTTGGCCTGTCAGCAGGCATAAACTCCAAAGTTTCCCCCTCAGTACATTTCAAGGACTGTTTACCCAGGTGGACACACATGGATTAGGCAACCCATTGATCAGACGCGTTTGATTGGTTTGGGTGTGACTGAGGGCACTGCAGCTGTCAGAACCAACACCTCTCATGGAGACACATGGACACCCACACTTGCTGGGATGGCCCAAAGACGTGTGCTGGGTTGTGGCTCATGAGCTGTATGCCCAGGCTCGCAATCAACCACCGACTCAGGGTGAGGGTAAGCACGTGACTGTCTCCAGATGGGATCCTCCATTCCGTGCGAGACCATGGAGCCCTGGCCATTTCCTCAAGTGTCTGGTTGTGGTTGGGAATCCCTGGGTGTCACAAACAGTTAAGCACTCAACTACTAGTCAAAAGGTTGGCGGCTTGAACCCATCTAGAAGCGTCTCGGAAGAAAAGACTGACAATCTGCTTCTGAAAGGTCATAGCCTTGAAAACCCTATGGAGCACAGTTCTACTCTGCAGACATGGGGTCGCCATGAGTTGGCGCTGACTCAATGGCAGCTAACAGCAACAGCAACTGGCTGTGGGCAGCACCAGTCTAGAGCGGTGGCTTGTGTCCCTGAGACAGGCAGGAAATACCAAGCGGGATCCAGCCAGCGCTTCCAGGGCACTGGCGATGCCCCTCACCAGCTCCCAGTGCTCCGTTTGCCAGGAGTGAGGGGACAGCAAGTACCATTGTTGGAGAAGGCCTTGCCACCTGCTCCTCTCTGCCTTGGGCATTTTCCCTTTCCCATCGACCTGGTCCACAAAGGCTGTACTGTGTGGCCTTGCCAGTGAATTTTCCTAAGCGGAGACCTTTATTTAATATCCAAACCCAGGAACTGGCCATAGTAATGACTAGGGAGGAGATCAGGTGAGTGTGCAGGCCACCTGGCCAAGGGAGCCAAGTCAGAAGGGCCCTTGTGGGGAGGATGTTATTGTTTTAGTGGGCACAGCAAAGGCTGGATTAGCCAGCCGGACTTGGTAAATTCTTCTTTATAGTTTCTGAGCCTTTAAAAGAAGAGCTTCCTCAGGATCTGTTCTGATTCCAGACCTGGATGCCATGAGGATGCTGGCAATTCTGCTGTCCCTGATCCTTGGTGCCCATGGGTCTGAGTGGACCTACTCAGGTAAGGCCCCCACCCCTCTCTCCACAGAAAGAGTGCGACTCCACTTCTTGGGGAGAGAGAGAAACCTGGTATTTTCCAGCCTGGCCAGGTAGACTACTCATGATTTTGTGTTCCTTGGTTGCTCATTTTGGGCTCAGACACCACCTTTTCAATGTCTTGGAAAGCATGGAGAACAAGCCAAATTTAAGCTTCAACTAAGGAAAAGAGGACATAATTCTCCCCGTCACCAGCCCTTCCTCACTCGCAGGTTTTTTTGTTTGCTCTAAGCCCTTTTCCACCCATGATGTTGGCTGGTTCAAGAGCCCAATCACTGCTTCCGATCGCAACACCACTTGCTTTATTGGTCTGCATAAGTGGAAAAGGAGGTTGCTAGAAAGGATGTCCTGTAGTCTCCCAGAGGGGGTTGCAGCCTGGTGACAGCCTTCCTTCTTGGAAATGTCATGATACGCACTGTTCACCCAGAACATCTCGGCTTGACGAGAACACCAGTTACCTTTAGGTCGCCACCAGCCTGCCATCTCTTGGTGGCAACGGCCTTGCTGAGAATTGAACTTGCACGTTATCTGAAACCCGACTTTCCAAGGTGAAATTGAGAATGCTGGCATTTAGCATGGGCTCAGGACCACTTGACCCAAAGATAGGAAGGCTGTGTCTGTGGACACCAAAACACCCCTCCCATGTGGCACCCGATAGAGCTCCTGCCCCTCTTTTCTGTACTGGGAATATACATGGAATGGGGTCCCAGGAGGAGATGAGGCTTGTGACCATTGGCAGAGGCAAGAGGCAAATGCAGGGTTGAACTTGTTCTTGGTACCATTTGCCCTTGACCCAGGCACCTGCCTGGCAAAGAATAAATGCAGGTGAATGCTATATCCTGTTAAGTCAAGGGACATGATGTGAGGGTAGGAGAGTCCAGCTTCAGAGGGCAGGACTGCATACTCTGACCAACCATTCAGTTCGCAAGCCGAGGAACTCCACACGCCTGCCTGTTACACAAAGACTCTGGGGCTTTCTGCCTCACCTGGCCCCACCTGTACTGGGGGTGTTTCAGAGACCAAGGAAGACAGAGGACTCAAACAATGACAGTCTTGTCCTTCCCGGGCTCAGCCTAGTCTCTGAGACTGTGTGCCTCCTGGGAAGACACTAGGCATCCCAGAGAACTTTCCAGAAACTACCACAAGTGCCTTCAGGAATTACTTGAGAGACACCCCAATACTGGTAGGGGCGCGGGCCAAGACGCTTTGATTTATGAAGGGGCAGCTCTTGGAGCCTCTTGCCTTGGTTCTGATATCCTGCCTCTGGGAAACGAATTGTTTAAAAATTGGTTTGTATTATTAAATGGAGTCCCTGAGTGGTGTAAACAGTTAATGCTCTCGCTTGCTAACAGAAAGATTGGAGGTTCAAGTCCACCCAGAGGAGTTCGGAAGAAAGGCCTGGAGATCTGCTTCTGAAATATCACCCATTGAAAACCCTGTGGAGTGCATTTCTACTCTGATACACATGTGGGGGCGGGGGTGGGTTGCCATGAATCAGAATAGACTGGACTGCAACTGGCTTTGTTTTATTTTTCATTATTACATAGTGAACAGAAGAGGAGAAAAATAGTCAACTTTTCTATTGATTGCAAAACCAAGAAGTGGTGTGAGGCCCAACTACAAACTCCTTTCTTAAAACAAGCTGTGCATTTACCACCTAGCTACTCCCTAAAGTGGGAAGGGTGAGCACGCGTTCCCAATGGCAAGCAGGGGAAACCAGGACCCGCAGTGATTTGGAGGCTACGTCATCCTCCATTACCATCACCCCCCCACCCTGTCACTATTCATCCTCTTTAAAAAGAGAAACGTCCTTTTTAAAATTTGAAAAGATTTTTTAGTTTGTCATTCGATGTCATCTTTGAACCTAATGCTTCCTTAACCAAAACCCTTTGCTACTGCCCCATAGGGTTTCCAAGGCTGTAATTTTTACAAAGCAGACTGCCACATCTTTCTCCCACAGAATGGCTGGTGGGTTCAAACTGCCGACCTTTTGGTTAGCAGCCGAGTGCTTAACCACTTTGCCACCAGGGCTCTTTAACCCTTCCTTAGTTGCCCTCACTTAGTAGGTGTAGCTGTCACCCAGGGAGTCTTTACCATTCCGGGAACCTCTAAAAGGGGCTGGGCGCAAGAAAACAGATGAAGGAGGTCCTGCAGCCTGAGGTGGAGGGGGCTGTGTAACTGCTGGGGGCTTAGAAAGGAAAGTTGTGTTATTCAGAGGAAACGAGGAAAAGCCCCTGTTAGTAACATGGTAATACCACGCCCAACGATTTCAGCTGAAAATAATTCAAAGGGAAAATAAATCTATGTATTAAAGACTTCCATTGCTTTCAAAGCACTAAGCAATGCTTGCAGGGCCAGTGGTTGCAAGTTGGAACATGAAAATTAGAAATCAGAACAAAAGCCCCAAAACAGCTGGGGTCCTTGGGGGTTCATTTAAAAGCTCCTTTATCCTCCTTCCACAGGCCCTGCCTCTGCTTTCTAGAAGGCAGCACCTTGGGCCTCCCACACGGTGGGCCCTGGCCTCTGCCCTGGGTGAGGTGGCTGGTGGGTGCACCCCTACCCACGGGGAGGGCTTGACCTGGGCAGCCCCTCCACCTTCGCCCTGCTTGGTTCTCTCCTGTTTCAGAGGGGCCGGTGGGCCAGGAACACTGGCCTGACTACTACGCAGCCTGTGGCGGGCAGAGGCAGTCACCCATCAAACTGCAGAAGAAGACGGTGAGGTACAACCCCTCCTTGAAGGAGCTGAAACTGAAGGGCTATGAGGCCCAGCAGGGCAAGTTCTCCATGACCAACAACGGCCATACAGGTAAGGAGTGGGCAAGAGGCTCCCAGTCCCAGCAGCCCCAGAGAGAGGCCGAGGGAAAGGCAGATGATGGCCACCAGGAGCAGCCAGAACAGAGATGCAGAGCCCAGCCTTGGAGCTCAGGGCCTCAGGCAGGAGGACCGACAACAGCCATGGGACCAATATATATATTTTTAAATATCCAAGAATACGTTTTCATAGGCTTCAGAAAAGCTTGAAGGCCCAAGGCACTGGGCTTCTAATGTTCAGTGGGAAAAGGAATACACACTCTCTCGTTTTTAAAATTTATTTTATTTTTGTTGTTGTTGAGAATGTACATAGCAGAACATACACAGCAGAGCATACACAAATCCAGCAATTTCTACATGTACAGTCCAGTGACATTGATTACATTCTTCAAATTATGCAACTATTCTCATCCTCCTTTTCCAAACTGTTACTCCCCCATTAACATAAACTCACTGCCCCCTAAGTTTCCTATCTAATCTTTCAAGTGGCTGTTGTCAATTTGATCCCATATAGATAGTTCTTAAAACAACACAATGCTCAAGGCAGACATTCTTTACTAATTAAGCTCAACTATTGTTTGGTTTAACAATAGTTTAACTTCAGGGCATATTTCTGGTTTAAGGTTTAAATATTATCTCAGGGCAATAGTTTCAGGGGTTCATTCAGCCTCCATGGCTCCAGAAAGTCTGAATTCCATGAGAATGTGAAATTCTGTTCTTAATTTTTCCCCTCTTGATCAGGATTCTTCAACAGAATCTTTGATCAAAACGTTCAGTAATGGTAGCCAAGCAACACTGCTCTCTTAATACATACTACCTGCCACTCCATCTACTAAGCTCCTTGAGAGTGGAGACAATCTCTCATTCATCTTTCTCTCACAGTACCTGGCACAGAGCTTGGCATAGAGCAGATGCTTAAAAATGTTCACTGCATTTGGGAAAAGACCTGTACATAAAAGGATAAATCCCCAAATAGGCCACCATTAGGGCCTCGGGCTTCTGAGCAGGTTTTGATCTTTGAAGGTTGTAGGGGAGGCTGGTGTGCCCTTTTTTTTTTTAAACTTTCATTTTGAAATAGTTTTTGACTTGCAGAAAAGTTGCAAAAATAGCACCGAGTTCCCATATTCAGACAATATTCCCTAATATTAATATCTTACAACCATAGTATAATAATTATCAAACCCCAGAGTTAAGATTAATACAACACTATTGACTAATCCACATACCTTATTTGAATTTCATCACTTTTCCCGTTTGTGGCCTTTTTCTGGTCCAGGATCAAATCCAGGATCTCACATTGCTTTTAGCTGTCGAATTTCCCAAGTCTCCTCCAATTTGTGCCAGTTCCTCAGTCTTTCTTTGGCTTTTGTGACCTTGCCATGTTGCTGATTGTATCTTGAGCAAAGAAAAATGTTCAGATCATGTTGTTTTTGTGGTCTGAGAAGAAATCAGCTTAACTGGTTGCCCATGAGGTGGAAGCAACGTCTCCTGGAAGTTAAATTAATTTTCAGAATCTGTAAGGTTGCTCAGCATCAGATACCTCAGTATTGCCTTTTCAGAGATACAGTGACAAGCTCAGAATTATCGCCCTTTTCCAGGCTGCCTGCAATGTCCTGTGGATGTCACTTGAGAATTGAGACAGTGTCTCTGGAGAATTGTGTTTTGGGGAAACATGATTGTCAGTATCCCTATCCTTGTTTAGGTGGTGCTAACTGTTCACCGGGAAGCCCTGGCCTGGTTCCTTAGCTTCCCAATCCTCCAATCAGTTCTCTGCACAGCTGATTCTACACACTTCTTTTTAAAGGTGCTTCCATTTTTTTCCATATGACTGTTGATTTGAGGCTGACCACATCCTAAGGAGCCCTAGTGGTGCAATGGTTAAGCACTTGGCTACTAACCGGAAGGTCAGTGGCTCCGCAGGAGAAAAGACTGTCAATCTGCTCTCATAAAGATTACAGCCTAGGAAACCCTATGAGGCAGTTCTACTCTGTCACATGGGGTCACTATAAGTCGGAATCGACTTGTCGGCCCCCAACAACAACAACATCCTAAACACTAAATACAAAGCACCTCCACCGCCAGAGGACATGTTCGAATCTTCAAGGCAAGAGTCCTGCCTTACAGCATATTACATTATGAATTTAATCATAGCTTCCCACTCCTTTAGACAATTTGGAAGGGAAAAAGGGGCCTCTGACAGATATCAAATACCTAATATTTGCTTTTTAAAAAAACGTATTTGTTTATAACTCTCTTGGTTACCTAGTGCTGCTGTAACAGAAATGCCACAAGTGGGTGGCTATAAAGAACAGAATTAATTTTCTCACAGTTCTGGAGGATAGAAGTCCAAATTCAGGGCATGGCTCTAGGGAGAAATCCTTCCTTGTTGATTTCAACTCCTAGTAGCTGCCAGCAATCTTTGGTGTTCCTGGGCTCGCAGATGCATCTGTCTCCGTCATCGGTCTTCCTTTCCCCCATGTGAGTGTCTCTGTCAGTATCCCTATTCTTGTTTATGTGGTGCTAACTGGTCACTGGGGAAGCCCTGGCCTGGTTCTGTTCTGCTCTTTTTATAACCCCAAAGAGATTAGGTTTAGGACTCACTCTACTCTAATGTGGTCTGGAATGACCACGTTAACACAACCCAAGAAAACCCCAGTTTCCAAATAGGGTCTTATTTACAGTACAGGGGCTAGTATTCCAACACATATTTTGCGGGAGACACAATTCAATCCATAACATGAACCATCTTTGATGACTTTAAATAGAAAGACCTTGCCAGTAAGACAGATGCTGCTTGTCCCTTTCCATAATCTCATAGATATTTTTTTTAGTCACTCTCTGTCACTCTCCACCTCTCCTTTTTGCGTAGCTCATTCCCAAAGATACACATTTCCCTAAGACCTGAGTCAGTGAAACCAACAACTATAGTTGCCTGCTTGTAGTTCTTTCCTGGTGTGACTGGTTGTAGAGCATGAGGCAGGAGGAAACTAGGAGAATGATCTGTTTTTCCCATCAGTAAGAGCCTTGCATTTTAATGCATCCATTTATGATCACAGTCAATGTGCATAAATCCAAAACCAAGAGTCTACCAATAGCATATTCCCTGACTTGCTATAGAGTACAGTCTCTTCTTTGGAAGACAAATTGAGCCATGTCATGGAGAAGTGGGAAAAGTTCTGGATGGCGTCTAGATGCCTGTTTCATGGCCCAGCTTTGCCCCTGACTGATGACTTTGAGCAGTCTTCCCACCTCCTTGAGTCTGCTTCCTTGTCCATAAAATAAACTTGTCGAACCCCAGCAGGGATTACCTCCAAGTAGAGTTGGCTTTTAGTTGGGCTAGTTCTAGAAGGCTACATGGCATGAGGATTTTAACCACAGCATGAAGTGGATAGCTACCTCAATGTGGCTTTATAAACAGTACAATTCTGGGTAGCAAAATTTATCAAAATAGCCCCAAGAGGCCCAGCTTATTATTCCTACACTTTGCATAAATTCCAAATTTGGCCAGAGGTGGAGAGAGGATTTCTGAGTTTCCTCACCCACTGGCCATATTTTTTTCAGAGCCAACAGGCTGGGATCTGCCACTCCATGGTCCTGCCCCTGACCTGATCTTGGGCAGGAAGTTGTGTACCCTGGAGAGGTGCCTGTCCTAGCCCAACATAATCAGCGCCCAGTACCTGTCTTGACCTCACCCTGTGCCCTGAGTGCCAGCTACCGCCTCCCCACTGGTGGCCTGCTCATAACATTCTAAGCCAGTCTACAGTACTGGCTTGTCCTAGGAGCAAGCGGGTGGGAGGTGACCAGGAAGGTGACCCAGTCACATCCCACTCTGCACCATTCCCGCCCCTGCCCTCTTTCCAGTGCAGATCACACTGCTTCCCACCATGCGCATGACAGCCCCTGATGGCACCAAGTACATCGCTGAGCAGATGCACTTCCACTGGGGTGGCAGATCCTCTGAGATGAGCGGCTCCGAGCACACCATCGACGGGCGCAGGTTTATGATTGAGGTATCGTAAAGACCCACTTCCCTTGTTAAAATAGCCAAAAAGACTTTTTATAATGATGACAGTCAAGTCATCCCGAGATCAAGTTGATTTTTCATTTATTCAACAACTATTGGATTGATCAACACTCTGTGCAGGAGTACACAGGCAGGGTCCCCGTCTCCATGGAATTTACAGCAAGGTAGGAGCTCACAGCCACAGGGTGGGACTAGCCTCTCGTGATTTCAGCTGGATTTCCATGTGTTAGATTTTCTGTCTGCTTTCTCTTGACTGAATTCCTCCTTAGGATGACTGCAGGTCTACAGTGGCCTCCTGGGGCCGGGGAGTGTCACATGGTGGGTTTCCCCTTATGGAACAAGGATCTTGGGATACTACAGAGGCCGTAGTCATTTAGCAGCTACTTACTTCAAGAGATGGATGCTCTGTGCTAGGCTGAGCTGGCTGCCGGAGATGTGGTCCCTGCCCTCACAGAGCTCAGAGTTGACTGAGAAACTCACGGTCAAGTCCTCTACCTGTAAGAGGGGGACACTTCTCTTGTTAAACTTTTCTCAGAGCTGGACTCTTCCCTAATCTGAAGGTGACCTCCCAGCCCATTTGCTCCCCACTGGAGTGTCTCATCTTCTTACTCAGCATTTGGTCGCCTCTCTCTGGCTGCTATGTCTCTTGAAATGAGGTGTTGGTTTTCTCCACTGCCCATGGCCCTAGGAGACCAGGATGTGAAGGTCCATGGGGTGGTGGCTGCCCTGTGAGCATGGGCGGCCTGGTAGTTTCTGTTCTTTGGACCAGAAGGAACACAGTTCTCCTCTGGGTCCTTCACATTCAGAAAGATGGTGCAGGTTCCCCCATCCCCCTATTCCAGGACAGCAGCAGCAGTCAGGCAGGTATGGGTGCCCTCAGATGAGCCAAGCTCCATTTTCTGCCACTGTTCCCTAGCTCTTTATTCCAGAAGAACAAAGGCTCATGCCCACTCACCCCCAGAGACCTCAGAGAACCTGGTGGCTTCATGTGATCCCTCGACTCTGCCAGTTTGTTTACTGGGGAAGGAGTTAGGGGCCAGTGAAATGCCCTCGGGTTACCATCTCCCCAGAATCCCACTCAAATTCCTTCCATTCTTTGAGAATTTTGTGGTCTTGATAGATGGGGTTGGTAGCCCAGATGGAGGAGATGAAGATAAGAAGTTTTTTGTATGGGGCAGTCTGAGGCCTTGGAAAAAGCACCTTTCTTTCTTTCCCTCCTTCCATGAAGTCTGTATTAACTGCCACTGACATATCCTTCCTTGCCCCCACAGATTCACGTTGTTCACTACAACTCTAAATACAAGAGCTACGATATAGCCAAAGATGCCCCTGATGGTTTGGCTGTACTGGCAGCCCTCTATGAGGTAGGCTGAAACTACGCATGTGTGCCTGCATTTGAAGTTATCAGGTTATGTCCAAACATGGCTTTAAGTCTAGATAAAGGATCTTTCTTTCTAACCCTTTTCATTCTTCCCTGAGCTCACAATTCTTGGAGATCCTGACTCGATGGAAGATCGACCCCTTTCCAGTCCTGTTCAGTCACTGTGCTCTTTCTGTGTTATTAACCTCAAGGACCTTGGAAGACTGAAGAAGCAGACTTAAAAGAGCTGGAATCACAAAAGGGTTGACTGGACACACCTGGTCTGAGGGGCAAGGGAAAGCCCCATAAGTTGATCAGACAAAGGAAACACCACTGCATTTCTAAGAAAATCTGGTGAGAGGACTTCTGGCTATGGTGATGAGAAGTGGCGGGCAAATCCAATCCCCACAAAATAAGTATTAAGCTGGTAAAATTGTCAAAAACAACCATTTCAGCAGTCTGGAAGTTGACCAAAGACAAACAACAAATTGAGAAGCATTTATTTGTGAAAAATGACTAGAATTTTGAGTAAGAACAATGGGAGTATGTGGCCTTCTTGCTTGAGGTTGTTCTCATCCCCACCCCTAGCTTGGTCAGCAAGGTTGTTTTATCAGGACAGGGCTGATCACAAAAAACCAACTTCATTGCCAGAAGAAGCTGACTTGATTTGGGGTGAAAGCTGGAACCCCACACTCCAGGGCACTGTCAGTAAAAAGCAAACTCAGAAAAGACAGAAAACAAACAAGAGAAACTTGCAGTTCTGCGAATCTGAGGTTGTGATCCAAGTTGGGGTCAGTGGCTGACCAGCCAGAAATTGAATGAAGAGATCCTGGAAATGAGAGAACTATGTAATTTTTACAAGACTTACTGGTGGAAAGTAAAAGCTGAGACCGACATGAAAATTGTCTGAACTTTGAATGTGCTTCTCAATCCACACACAGATCAATCAGCAGAAGGTTGAAGTCTTATGGGCTGAGGGATTTCAGCACAACCTATGTCCAAATCATGGGCTCACCATGAAGCTATGCCGACTCCAGTTGACCCCTAGGAAGTCAGGCTAAAATACAAAAATAAGTTAAAAATGGAGCAGAGATATCAGTGGCTGCATACTGCAGGGGAGACATTTCTTGCAGATTAAGTCCAGGTGAGTTACTAAACAAATACACAAACAAAAAACCCTCAGGACAATTAAAAAAAAATCAAGATCCAGAGTTGCCACCATGTATTATCTAAAATGTCTAGTTTTCAACAACAGCAAAAAAATTGAAGCATGCAAAGAAACAGGAAAATGTGAGCCGTACTTAGGAAAAAATGCACTCAATAGGAATGACTCTGAGTGGGCTGAGTGATTTAGTAGGCAAGGTCTTCAAAACAACTATTATAAATATGTTCAAAGAATTAAAGGAAACTATGTTGAAATAGTTAAAGGAAAATATGTCAGTGACTTAAAAAAAGGGGGGGGGGAGGTGAATCTCACTAGAGAAACAAACTATAAAAATGTACCAGATGGAAATTCTAGAGTTGAAAATTACAATTAAAAAAAGAAAGAAAGAAAAAGTCACTAGATAGGCTCAAAGCAGATTTCAGATGGCAGAAGAAAGAATCACTGCATTTGAAGATAGACTGAAGAAATCATCCAATCTGAAGTACAGAGAAAAAAGACTGAAGAAAAATGAACAGAGCCTTAGAGACTCATAGGGTATACCAATAGATGTGTAATGGGAGTCCAGGAGAAGAGACAGATAAAGTAGCAGAAAAAATACTTAAAGAAATAATGGCTGAAAAATTCCCAAATTTGATGATCTGAGAAACTCAACAAATTCCAAGTCAGATAAACATTTAGACACAACAGTCAAAATGCTGAAATCCCGAAGACAAACAGAAATCTTAAAAACAGCAAGAGAAAAAGGATTCATTATGTACTTGGGGATGACAACACAATGAATGGCTGACTGATCATCAGAAACAAGTCATTAGAAGGCAGTGGAATAACATTCAAAGTGCTGGAAAAAAACCTGTCAACCAAGAGTTCTATATCCAGCTAAACTATCGTTCAAAAAAATGAAGGCAAAATAAAGACATTTCCAGATTTTTAAAAAACTGAGATAATTTGTTTTTAGTGGACCTGTTTACAAGAAATACTAAAGGAAATCCTTCTTGCTGAAAGGAAATTACACCAGACAGTAACTCAAATCCACAGAAAGAAATGAAGAGTGCTGAAAATTGTAAATATAAAAAACTATATAGTTTTTTTTACTCTTCTTAATTTCTTAAAAAACATAAGATTGCTTAAAGCAATAATTAAAACACAGTATTGTTGGGCTTATCACATATGTAGATGTAATATACATGACAAAAATAGAAGGAGGGGGAAGAAATCAAGCTGTATTGGAGCAAAGTTACTATATTTTACTGGAATTAAGTTAGTATTAACATAGATTATGATAAATTAAGTTGTATATTGTAATTACTTGAGCAACCACTAAGAAAATAATTGAAAATGATTAAATGGTAGACTGAAAGTATTTGTTTAACAAAAAAGAGGGCAGCAAAGCTGGAACAGAGGAACAAAAGGTCATAAGACATGTAGAAAACAAACAGCACAATGGCAGTTATAAACCCAGGAAAGCTTGAGTTTATGCACAGTGGAAGAGGAACTGGAGGCTGAATCAACAACACTGACTGAAAAGAACCATTGAAAGTAGATCTTTTTCACCAAATGCAACTTTTCTGTCTCTCTAAAAATAAACATTCATACAAAAATTTACAAATGGCGTGGCAGTGGGTGGAACTGGGACACTTTGCCTTGAACATCTGGCCATCCTCTCCCCAGTCAAAAGTCTCAAGGACGAAGAAGACAGCTCATGAGTTTAAGCTTCCTTCATCACACTGAATTTGATTGTGACCAACAGGGCCCCAAACAAGCTGGTTGGGGCTGTTTTTAGCAGTGCCTTTGGCCATTCTCTAAGGGCATCACCAGTCACCGAAAATCTCCTTTCCCTGGAAGCTTCAGGGAATGCCTCTCTTGAAGAGACTTATAAGCTTAGAGAATAACCAGGTGGTCTTCCCCCACCATAACTGGGGCATATGCTGCCTCCTCCTTGCTTTCAAGGCTCTGCCCAATCTGCTAGAAAACAAAACAGCTGGATTAGTAAGGACAGAGCAGGAGGTCTCTTCACTTATGTTAACTGCTCTGTATTTTTCCTACAGGTCCAGGATAATGCTGAAAACACTTATTACAGCAAGCTCATTTCCCAGTTGCAGAACATCAAGTATCCAGGTAAGGGAAGCCAACGTGGCTGCAGGAGGGAAGAAGAATGAGCAGGAGGGATGGATGTTGCAAAAGGCTGGAGAGGGTGCAGGGGAAGGGTGAAGATGGTGGTGAGGGTGGCAGATAAGCCCTACCAGGGGAGCACAAAGTTTCTTGTTCATAAACTCTACCACTCATAAACTCACATGACTACAACTTCTGAATGGCTAGAGTTCCACTACCTACCCAGTTGCCACTGAGTTGACTCCGACTCATGGCAATCCCATGTGTGTCAGAGTGGAACTGGGCTCCGTAGGGTTTTCCATGGCTGATTTTTCAAGTAGACTACCAAGCCTTTACTTCCCAGGCACCTCTGGGTGGACTCAAACCTCCACCCTTTTGGTTAGCAGCCGAACATGCTAACCATTTGCACTACCTAGGGACTCCACTAACTAGGGATTTCTTTAGTTAAGTGACGCTTACCTCTGGCCCCAGCTGGCAATGATTACCTTATTTTAGAGTCAACCCTGGTTACTAAAGAGAGATGCCCTTCTTAGTTTCAAGCGGAGAAGAGTCTCAGAAGTGAAGCCCCTCATCATCCCACCTAGACCCACAGACACTCGGGGGTGGTCTCCCCTTCCCTCTGTTCCCAGGAGCCAGATACCTTGTCAGAGCCACCACCCACTGTCATGCACATCCCTGACCTTGTAATCACCAATAACTATGTCAGCTCTGAAGTCTTCATTTCGTAGCCTCCCAGATCACGGACTTCAGTATCCCCTTCTCACCCCCCACCACCAGTAATTCCTCTGACCTGAGTCTTCCCACTCAAGGGCCTCCGTGTTCTCACTACTAGTCACCCCTCATATCCTTCCATCTCTCCTTACCTAGTTTAGACTCCAGGGGCCATTAGTATAACACTCCCTACAAATACCCTCAAGGTCTTCACCTTTCCACCCACAAACTCACTGGCAGAGCCCCAAACCAACTCTTGGCTACTCAGAACCTGGAGCCAAATAGCTGAATGTTGTTGGAAAGACAGAATGCACAACCGTGTGACTGGTATTATTTTTATGGGGTTGCCATGACTCCACAGCAACTGAAACACACAAAAATAAATATGAATAGATACTAATACTGCCTGGAAATCCTACCATATTAACTCTGGGAATTTGCTTTTCCCTCTCCAAAATTATTATTTCACACTTTCTCCTCTCCACTGAAGCCCTCTTTTCCCTGCCCCCGCTCCTACCTCATTGTTAATGACCTTGCCTCCCACTTCACTGAGACAGCAAAAGCAACCAGTGAGAAACGCATTCATCTTCTTCTCAACCTATCTGCCTCGGGACCAAACCCCATGTCTCCTGTTACAATGGATGAAAAATCCCTGCTCTTGTCAAAGACCAACACCTTCCTTCCATGTGAGAACTGACAACACCGCTCTCTTGTTCTCCAGGCCTTTTCTTCTGCTCTTATCCCCATTCTCTCCTGTATCGTTAATTTCTTATTCTTCCTTGAGTGAGTCATTCTCCCAGGCACATCAGTCTAATACCCCCCACCTCAGATCATAAACACAACTATCTCTTGACCACCACCAGACCCCCAGCTTCCACCCCACTCTTCTGATCCTTTTGAAAGAGTTGTACTTCCTCATCCCATGCCCCTTTAATCTGGTCTTACTACTCCACCGAGCCTGTGAGGTTGCCCCCTACTGGCCACTTTTCTACTCTTAATTGACCTCGCAACAACCTCTATTACACCATACACCACAGCTTTCATTCTGGCGAGTCCAACCCCACCCCTCTGGCTCTGTTCTCTTGGTCTCTTTTTCTGGTTGCTGCTCTAAATGTTGAATGTTGCCACAATTCCGTCCTTGCTTGGCACAACCTCATTCAATCCCATGGTTTAAAATCCTTCCAATGACAGTGTTGTTGTCAGGTGCTGTTTAGTCTGTTCTGACTCATACAGACCCTATGTACAACAGAACAAAACATTACCTGGTCCTACACCATTCTCACAGTCATTGTTACACTTGAGTCCATTGTTGCAGCCACTGTGTCAATCCATCTTTTTTTTTTTTTGACTTTTTTATTCTACTTCAGGTGACGGTTTAGAGAACAAATAGTTTCTCATTAAACAGTAGTACACATATTGTTTTATGACATTGGTTAACAACCCCACAACATGTCAACCCTCT